GTGCTGTTCCGACAGAATTTCAAGTTGACATCATTTTGATGATGCAATGCACACTGTACACGGATTATCAGACGAATCCGGAACCTGTGGTTGACCGAAGCCGATCGATCCTGTACAAATTATTGCAAAGAAAAACGTGTGATGCGTTGACACCCGTACACATGTTGTAAATCACTGGTGCAAGGAGCATTGCGTCATCAATAATGACGTCAACTTGAAATTCTGTCGGGACAACAGGGTATGTGGGAGTTGCACACTCTGGGGGGTTATGTACTCTTGCCTATACCGTAAAGTACCGCCAGAGCGCCCCACCATCTCATCCCTTCGTGGTCGTATTGTGGAGGTGGTCTGCTGTCTGTAGGTCATACGACATGAACCTTGTACACATATTGCACGTTTTGCAGTCAATCCGTACCTTCAAGCGGACACAAGCTCCACACAAAAACCTGCCAAGTGTGACCTTAGTACACTAAGATTCTCACATTGTACACACTTCGTTGCACTCTGCCATACGATTTTCCTTTCTCTGGCTGTAAAATCAAGGTGAGGCGCTCTCGCGAGACGGGGCGCTCTGGCGGTACTTTACGGTACTAATGCTAGCATGCGTTGAGCGCCTTGACTCCGAGGTTGCGTTTGGTTGGGCATTTTCAGAATGTAAATGACAACCATTCTGGAATGGGAATGGGTAAGAATCACCTAACCAAACAAACGCGCCAGAATCATCTAGGAATCACTTGACATAACAATTCCATGATGTCGTTGCGGAACGGCGGCTCTCTTCTCTTTTACCCGACTTGAGAGAGTCAATGTACTTCTGAGGTTACGTTTGGTTGGTCACATTCCCAAATGGGAATCACTTGGAATCACTCGGAATCATTCTCGCCCGTTTGGTTGGTCAAAAAAGTGCGTTAGGTTGGTCACATTCCACATGATTCCAGAATGGGAATCGCTGAGAATGATTCTTTTTGGAGAATGATCATTCCACCTCACATGCTGGAATGAGCATTCTCATTCCGGAATCAGAAATGATAATGGCTGCCATGAGCCAAACAATGTTGCAACAGGTTTTAGTGCCTCAAATCATGCACTCAGAAATACCATGACTCTCTCAAGGAAACTAGAGTCGGGTAAAAGAAAAGACAGCCGCCGTTCCACAACGACATCATGGAATTGTTATGTCAAGGGATTCCTAATTGATTCTGGCGCGTTAGTTTGGTCATTTGATTCTTGCCCATTCCCATTCCAGAATGGTTGTCATTTACATTCTGAAAATGCCCAACCAAACGCAACCTGAGTACATAATTTGAGGCACTTGAACCTGATGCTACATTGTTTGGCTCGTGGCAACCATTATCATTTTTGATTCCGGAATGAGAATGCTCATTCCAGCATGTGAGGTGGAATAATCACTCTCCAAAAAGAATCATTCTCAGCGATTCCCATTCTGGAATGGGACCAACCTAACGCACTTTGTTTGACCAACCAAACGGGCGGGAATGATTCCAAGTGATTCCAATTGATTCCCATTTGAGAATGTGACCAACCAAACGTAACCCGAGTATGCACTACTACTAGTGCTGGAACTGTCATGCTGGCTGTCGATGGCTTCATGCTGCATCGTCAGCTCAATTTGCAACAGTCTCCTCTGCGACTCTGTCTGTTGCTGCTCCAATTCAGCCAGCCTCTTTGCAGCCTCGTACTCAGCTCTTAGGTGCGCACTCCGCGCACCGCGACTACGCGCACTGCGACTACTACTAACGCTAATACTGTCCACACCAATGGACTTCAGACTGAGCACATCATGTACACTGGCACTGGGTGATGGTGGCAAAGACAAATTCACCGCAGCGTCAAAGGCAAGCTGAGCGTCAGTCTGTGTCGACTCCAGCCACTCACCGAGCCGATCTGGCGCTCTCCCTCTGGTGGTTCTGGTGCTCTTGCGCGACATCACAACGCCAACGATCGAAATGCACACTCAAATTTCAAAAATATACACAATACGATCATAACACAACGAGCTACGGAATACAGAAAGGTTTACTTCGGGGCTGTTCGATTGGCTCCGGATGCGCCTCCGCACATCCGGCTCGAAGGACCAAATGTTCAGGGCAATACGGACAACCGAAGTCACGACCACACATCGAAAACTACTGCTCGCTTGAAGACTGTATAAAGTGTATTCACAAACAACAACAAATCTGAAAGCTGAAAACTCTGAAAAAGAAACTAAACAAAAAAGCCACGAGGTCCGCTCAGCGCTTCGCGTACCAAGACCATCTACGAAAATGGAGGCATCGCAGTACGCCTTCAAGGAAACAGCAATTATTGCAGCGAAGCGGTGAAAACTGCAAGAAAGCGAAAGCCATAGATCACGGACACAACAGAAAAAGCCTGTACCAAAGAAAGCGCATCGCTTGCCGCGCAGCATTGTACACACGCAGCGCACAGTTCACTGTACATTTGGCAAAAAAACATAAAAGAAAATCAAAAAAGTCCACGACAAGTTCAACCATCAGGCAGGAACAAACGGGTAAGAAAAACGAGGTAAGGTAGACCCTGTCACCTGAACCTGGGCAATGCCCATCACATCATTCCGGCATAATACATGTACTATTACAAGAGACGTGTCCTTATATATTTTTGATCCACACTGACTATGTACTTCAAGTACTACAAGTACTAGTATTACAAACATGCTAAATAGACACATTGGGGAGGTTTCGCTCTACGGAATTACGTATGAACATAACGTAGGAACTGCACGTAATTTTCACACGTGAAAATCAGCGCTGTTGGTTTTCGCTCTACATGATTTCTCCACGACTGCTAAGCATGCCTTGTTGCTTTGGAGATGCGTTGGCTGCATGCACCACGAACCGAAACCGCATTTTCCATTTTATTTGGCACGTGGTGTACGATGTGTGTACCTTGTGTTTCGCGCGGCTTGAACGTTGACATGGTTAAATCCGGAAAATGCGAAAATTATTTCAAAAGTCCTACGGACCACCCAACGTAGGAAAGAGCTTTCCTATGAAAATCCTGCCCTCGCTCCCCGGCGCGTACGACATACAGATTTTCATACGTAATTACGTAGAGCGAAACCTCCCTATTCCGGGGTACGATTTTCCGTGCCCAAATCTGTATGGGCACTACGGATTTTTTCGAGGCGTGCTTCATGCTTTTTTGGCACGGAGAATCCATGTGAACTGGCTTTCAAACAAACTGTGTTTCTTACTGTTGATCGTATCGAGACTTTGTGTCATCTACTACAGAAAGATTTTTGCGCACAAAATTGGCACGAGAAACATCGACTTTCCGCCAGACGTTTTGATCTCGGTACAAATTTTCAAAATAAACAGGCATAGCGCGGGAATATGACCTGTTTGCGATCGTAACCTAGGCAATGATGGAAAAAACACATAATTTCCGTACTCCGGAATATTTCACTGCTCGAAAACAACGTCTACAAAATCCGTATGTGTAACATTTGGAGTACATAATTATGTTAACCTTTTTACCGCTACAAGGGTGTGCAAGGCATAGACAAAAGAGTAAGCATGGTTCACAAAAAATTAATGAGAGTGCCACAACATTCCCTTCTTCCTTATTTACCTATTGTTCGCCTATGGTTTAGGCAGCTTTTAAAAAGTACTTTGGGCCGTGTACATTCATCTACGTGTGACCCTGATCCGGTGCCTCTCTGTGTTGTGTGCGTGTGTTTGTGTGTGCGTCTATGCGTGTGTGTGTGTGTGTGTGTGCACGTTTGTGCTTGTTATGTGGGCCGCGATCAGCTAAAACATGTCTTTGGGGTTTCGTAAAAAAGTTGGGAAATGACGAAATGAAAAAAATGTTTTTTGGAGCGCGTTCACTCTGCACTTCATTCAAATGATTCATGATGTGGCGATCATCTTCTCAAATTTTGTTCAAACACTTGTTTGGCGTTCTACTTCAAGTAGCTGGCGAGCAAAGACTGACAATGTCCGCATCTAGTGATACTAGAGTAGCTCGCACGGCCAGACGATCGCTGTGCATGGCCCAGGTTTGTTCAGGTGTCTGCAAGTCCGTGGCGGCGGGTCTGCAGAGCGACGCTGACAATTTGTTGGGATCTCATTAATGTTGATGTCGACAGCGAAGCTGATTCGTCCCCGTCGAAGAGGCACAAGTTGTGGGCTAGTACATAATCATTTAGGCGGCGAACCGGCTGCCTTACGACGTTACTTGCGTTCAGCTCTCATGAGGCGTCTGACGCAGTCTCGGAAGCGCAGGCGACGATCGAAAGTGTCACTGCCAGAATCGAAAGAGTATGCAAGTGCAATGCCGCCCAGCGCATCGTGTTGCTTTCCAGGAAGAACTTGGGACATGATCAAGTCGGTGTCAACATCTTTAGTTCCGTTGTATTGTGCTCCGCCACAAAAGCCACTAAGTAATAGTTTGTCTCTTTGTGTCAGACTGTGCGAAAACTGTCATTTTCTATTTCAAAGTACATATTTTGAAAGCGGTGTTTGGGGCACTTGTAGACTACTTTTCTGCCCTGTATCACCTTCAAGAGGTCAAGTAAGGTCCCAAGAACTGTTTTCTGGAGGGAAACAAAATTTGAAAATTTTCACCCTAAGACATGTTTTAGCTGGTTGTGGCCCATGTTATGTTATGTTAGCTTTATTTTACTTCACCATAGGTACAGGCATTGCTGTCTTCTTGCTGTGGATCATTAATGATGCCACAGCTCCTAGGCTATGATGAAAAATATATTGTGTGTGTACATGGTGTGGATGTGTTTGTGTTTTGTGTGCTGATGTGTGTGTGTGTGCGCGCGTGTGTGTGTGTGTGTGTGTGTGTGTGTGTGTGTGTGTGTGTGTGCACGTTTGTGCTTGTGTGTGTCCATGTGTTTGTTTTTTGTGTGCTGATGTGTGTGTGTGTGTGTGTGTGTGTACACATGCTTTGCATATTCATTTGGGAATATGCACCCCTGCCCTCTGTGATTGATCGTGCAAATGAAATAGGTGATGTCTACTGCGAAACAACAGGGCGGAAACTTAGATTTTACCCACAAAAGATGGGGATATGGGACGCATATGCCCATTGCACAAGCGTCAATGGAAGAATGCCAGAGAGGAATGAGAAGTGGTGTATAACAAGTAACTTCATATACAAAAATAATTATGGGAAAAGAGAGGAGTCGGCTACTTGGCTGAACTTTAACTTTCACAACGGAGAAAACCCAACGACCACATCCGGTAGTTCCTACCCAAAAGTATCACCAGTGAAATTCTATGTCGTCTGCACCTTTCCCCGCTTTGGTGAGTGCTATTGTGTCACACATTTCTCATAATTTTTCACAAAACGCGGCATATTTTCGATCAATTCATAAAAATGAATGTTTGTCTGTCATACCCTAAATATTAGGTTAATCTTCATCATTAGCCGTCCATGCAATTTCTTCATCATTTCTAGGAACTGGCCCCTGGCCGGTGAGAAGGCATCCTTGCCTGTAAATCAACAACAACAACAACTCACTTAGCTCGCCAGGAGTAAGAAGCAAGTTTTGAAGCTCTGAGTGTCGTGACCACGTCCCCACCCTAGAAGCATATATGCACTGCTATTCTAACTAGTATTACCTATCTAGCACGGATGACTCCCCAGCGCCAGGCAGCCCAAAGCCTGAGCCCCCAGAGCCACTGTGGAGGTCGATGTCGCCGGCCGAATTGAAGGCCAATACCGTTATATTTGTCGACGGCCTCGCCGGCCAGAAGATAGTAGAAATTGCAGACACCCTCATCGACCAGGGTTATGCTGACGTCGCCTCCGTCCAAATTACCGGATCAGCCTGTAAGGTAACGTTCTGCAGCCAATCTACAACTAAGTCCATTGCAGAACACGGTTTCTTTCTTGGCGAAACACATATTTCTGTCCGCCATTCTCTCTCCTTGCAAGTGCACATCTTTGATGTCCCGATTTGGATCTCCGATGCCGCCACCATACATGCACTCACAAAATACGGTACGGTGCAAGGCACCATTCGCCACGGCCGTACCCGCACAAAGTCGGGCGCATTTGTCGGAACAGGCGTACGCTTCGCAACTGTTCGCCTGAACAACGGCTGCAGGCAGGTGCCATCATTCGTGCGGACAGCCGAAGGCAATACCTTCCGCGCGAAGCATGAGGGCCAGGCGCCAACTTGCCGACTCTGCAACTCAGAAAATCACCTTGCCGGCTCCTGCCCTAAATCGAACAAGCTACAAAACACACGGACCTGCACTTCAACCAACACGCGGCAGAACCAAAACGAAGACCCAGCACCAGACCCAACACTGGCGACAGCCCTGCCAGGCCAGGCCAGCTTACCGTACGCACAGGCAGCGACCCCGGCCCCTGCCAGCACACTCGTACAGGAAATCACCGAAACAAGCAACACACAGACCCAAAACGACGATCCAGCACCAGATCCGACAGCCTCCACAGGCCAGGTCAGCTTACTGTACGCACAGGTAGCGTCCCCTGTGACCTCTGCCAGCTCACCCGCACAGGAAGTCACTGAACACAGCCAGCCCAGCAAAAGTGCAGACCAGCACGGACACACTGCCAGTGCCTCTGATGAGCACCAAACTCGTACTCGTAGAACTAGTACAGATATCGATCGAGCCGACGAGAGCGAAGTCCGCGCACTATCACCCAGCGCAAGCATGTACTGCCACTCGCCAGGCTCACCTCGCACGGCAGCGGAAGACGACAGCAACGACGAGAGCCTGTTTGAGGAAGATGGAAATCGTGCCGAACAACTCCTGCAGAAGCTCAATGCAGCGGAGGAAGAATGGAAACTCTACACCGGACGTCGCAGACGCCACCAGCTAGAGCAGACGCCCCCAGGCGCACAACAGCCACATGCCTCTAAAAAACAAAAACAAAATAAGCTAGCTGACCAGAGTCCTACAGGAGTCACCATGGACCACGCCTGAACTGGAACCAACATCAACACCAGGTCCCACCAGTGAAAAAAAAACAATATATGAAAAACGGAAATGAACAAAATAGCATCTCTTTCTTCTCCTTCAACGCTCGCAGTCTCTACCCCAAAATGGACGAACTGTCAGCAATAGCATCGTCAACAACGCCACCTTATGATGTCATTGCTGTCTCTGAAACATGGTGTACCCAGCACGACCCAGACTCCCTGTTTGCCCTCAGTGGATACACACTACATCGTGCAGACCGCCCAGACCGCCAAGGTGGAGGAGTGATTCTCTACGTGAACGACACTATACCTCATGAACTCGTCCCTACAACAACCCCAGACAGCTTTGACCTATTATCGCTGAAACTGTCAGCCAACGACAGCACCATCAACGCAACATGCGTCTACCGACCACCCCGTTGCGACCATCGGCTATTCTGCCAGCACCTTGAGGAACTGATACGAGCCATACCAACAACAACGCAAAAGATTATCCTCGGTGATTTTAATGCAAAGAACGCCGCTTGGTGCCACTCTGACACGACAGATGCTGTTGGCGAGGATCTAGCAGTGCTGTTCCAAACTTACTCTCTACACCAACATGTCACATTCCCACTCTTGTGCAGAATGGGCACCCTAAATCCTGCCTAGATCTCGTCGTCACAGATGTAGACAGCGACTATGTCCTTATCTCTAGTCTCCCGCAGATCGGCAACTCGGACCACCTATCCATCAGGGGTTTAATCAAGCCAGTCACTGCACCCCCTCGAGCCGTACCACCTCCCACCCATAACAACACCCATTGGAAATGGTCAAATCCAAGCATCAGCAGTCTGAAAGGCGAAATTGAACGCACACAACTGCTACCGGAAGGTGACACCCTGAACACCACCAACATAGACAACCTGTGGCACTCATGGAAGGACAAAGTCCTCACCTGCGCCCGCAAACACTGTGCAGTACCTCACTCCCCGAGGCATACTAGCCACCCCGCAAAGCCATGGCTGAACCCAGAGCTCACTAACGCCATCAGAGAAAAACACCGGCTCTACCGTGCCTACTTGCGCACCCGGACGCCCTGCAACTGGACAGCATACACCACCCAACGCAACAAAGTTACTCACCTTCTCCGAATCGCTAAGTCTACATATGTCAGTAATGGCACTGGGACGAGCCACTCCACACCAAACCTACACAAACTGATGCGCGGCCTCCAGTCCTCACAACGACCTACTCTGCCAGACATGCTCTCCCAGGGCCAGACTCTCTCAACCCCCGCTGAAAAAGCAACCGCCCTGAACGCTTTCTTCATCTTGCAGAGCCAACAGTCAGTCACAGGATGCCACGAGGAACTTCCCTCCATTCATTCCCCCACACCCAATACACCTGGCCTCACTACACTTGAAACAACAGCCCAAGAGGTCTCAAAGTTACTGTCTAACCTGGACCCGTCAAAGAGCCCGGGCTGTGATGGCATACCAACCCGCCTACTGAAAGAGGCAGCCAGTTCACTTGCGCCGTCCCTAGCAACCCTTTTTAACATCTCCTTCGAACGTTGCACTATCCCGCAAGAGTGGAGGGACGCAACAGTCACCCCCATCCACAAGAAGGGCAGCAAAACCGAGCCCTCCAACTATCGACCGATATCGCTACTCAGCGTGACGTCGAAAGTACAAGAGAGGATAGTTGCTGACCGCATCTCGAAGCACATCCAACCTCACCTCCCCAACGGCCAATCAGGCTTTCGGCCAAACGATGGCACCACACAGCAGCTATCTCGGTTAATCCATCAGATCACCGAGAAAAGAGACGCCGGGCAAACAGTAATTGCTTGCTTCTTCGACCTATCTAAGGCGTTTGACCGGGTGTGGCACCAAGGACTCGGACTCGATGGCAAATGCCTCCAGTGGCTTGCCTCCTATCTCACCAATAGACGACAACGTGTGCAAGTGGAGAGCAGCAAATCAACCTGGCTAAACATTCCAGCCGGGGTCCCCCAAGGCTCTGTCTTGGGGCCGCTTTTGTTCACGGCCTACACAGTTGATCTGCCAACCGCCTGCATAAATGCCAACACTGAGTGCAGCCAGTTTGCCGACGACACTGCCATCATTGCCGCTCACGAGAATTTTCTAGCCGCAGAAGAGCACCTCCAGTCAGCTGTGACAACCGCGGCACAGTGGCTGAAGGATTGGCATCTCCTGGTCAACGAAAGTAAGACCACTGTCATCCACTTTCACCACACCAACCGGCCATCTCCCAGACCACCATCAATCACACTCAACGATACCAACCTCACTGTGGCCTCAAGGCATCGCCACCTTGGCCTCCTCATACAGCAGAATCTACGCTGGAACTCGCATGTTGACTACATCATCACTAAAGCGACCAGGAAGATGTTCCTTCTCCTGCGACTACGCAATTCCTTAAACACTTCTGCTCTCTCCTCCATCTATCTAACCTACATCCGCCCTATTCTTGAGTATGCTTGCACTGTCCTCTCACCCCTCCCCGCAACCCTGAACGACCGGCTTGAGCGCATCCAACGGCGCGCTGCTCGCCTCTGTTTGCATCTCCCCCTCTTTGAACACAGAACCCACTCCGTGCTGCTGCACCGACTCAAATGGCCATCACTCAGCAGCCGCCGTACCCTCTCCCATATCCTTCTTGCACATAGCCTGCATCATCGATATGCACCACCACACCTTCTTGCAATTCACCTACCCCGAATACAACCCATTCGCACGCTCAGGTTCCCCCGAACCTTTGAGCTACCCACAACACGTGCAAACCGGCTAAGGGACTCCCCCATCTATGCTTCTCTTGATCTCTTTAATAGCATCCCACCCAGCATCCGGCAAATCAACCCCAGACGAGATTTCAAAGCAAACATCCTACCACTTGTCATCTCTTCCGTATGTACTTGCTCACACTGCTCAGCACATCTATAGCTCCATTGCGCCCAGCCTACGTGATTAACTCCCAATTAGTATTGCCATAGCTGCTGCCTCAGCAAGCAGCTAAACTTTGATCTCTCTGTATCTGATCCCCGTGCCTGTAATTATTTTTCTCTTGTTGGCCACAGGCCATCGTGAGAATAAAAGAATTATAACAACAACAACAACAACAACAACAAGAACAACAACAACAACAACAGCAACAATAACAGCAACAGCAACAATAACATCAACAGCAACAATAACAATAACAACAACAAGAACAACAACAGCAGCAGCAGCAGCAACAATAACAATAACAACAGCAGCAGCAGCAACAATAATAACAACAACAACAACAACAACAACAACAACAACAACAACAACAACAACAACAACAACAACAACAACAACA